CATGAAGAAGAGGGGACACATGTTGATGAAGAAGAGACATGAAGAAGGGGGACACATGTTGATGAAGAAGAGACATGAAGAAGAGGGACACATGTTGATGAGAAGAGACATGAAGAAGAGGGGACACATGTTGATGAAGAAGAGACATGAAGAAGAGGGGACACATGTTGATGAAGAAGAGACATGAAGAAGAGGGGACACATGTTGATGAAGAAGAGACATGAAGAAGAGGGGACACATGTTGATGAAGAAGAGACATGAAGAAGAGGGGACACATGTTGATGAAGAAGAGACATGAAGAAGAGGGGACACATGTTGATGAAGAAGAGACATGAAGAAGAGGGGTACACATGTTGATGAGAAGAGACATGAAGAAGAGGGGACACATGTTGATGAAGAAGAGGACATTGAAGAAGAGGGGGACACATGTTGATGAAGAAGAGACATGAAGAAGAGGGGACCATTTGATAGAAGACATGAGAAGAGGGGACACATGTTGATTGAGAAGAGACATGAAGAAGAGGGGACACATGTTGATGAAGAAGAGACATGAAGAAGAGGGGACACATGCTGATGAAGAAGAGACATGAAGAAGAGGGGACACATGTTTGATGAAGAAGAGACATGAAGAAGAGGGGGACACATGGTGATGAAGAAGAGACATGAAGAAGAGGGGTACACATGTGATGTAGAAGAGACATGAAGAAGAGGGGGACACATGTTGATGAATAGAGACATGAAGAAGAGGGGACACATGTTGATGAAGAAGAGACATTGAAGAAGAGGGGACACATGTTGATGAAGAAGAGACATGAAGAAGAGGGGACACATGTTGATGAAGAAGAGACATGAAGAAGAGGGGACACATGTTGATGAAGAAGAGACATGAAGAAGAGGGGACACATGTTGATGAAGAAGAGACATGAAGAAGAGGGAACACATGTTGATGAAGAAGAGACATGAAGAGAGGGGACACATGGATGAGAAGAGACATGAAGAAGAGGGGACACATGTTGATGAAGAAGAGACATGAAGAAGAGGGGACACATGTTGATGAAGAGAGACATGAAGAAGAGGGGACACATGTTGATGAAGAAGAGACATGAAGAAGAGGGGACACATGTTGATGAAGAAGAGACATGAAGAAGAGGGGACACATGTTGATGAAGAAGAGACATGAGAAGGGGACACATGTTGATGTAGAAGAGACATGAAGAAGAGGGGACACATGTTGATGTAGAAGAGACATGAAGAAGAGGGGACACATGGTGATGAAGAAGAGACATGAAGAAGAGGGGACACATGTTGATGTAGAAGAGACATGAAGAAGAGGGGACACATGTTGATGTAGAAGAGACATGAAGAAGAGGGGACACATTTTGATGAAGAAGAGACATGAAGAAGAGGGGACACATGTTGATGTAGAAGAGACATGAAGAAGAGGGGACACATGTTGATGTAGAAGAGACATGAAGAAGAGGGGACACATGTTGATGTAAGAAGAGACATGAAGAAGAGGGGACACATGTTGATGAAGAAGAAGAGACATGAAGAAGAGGGGACACATGTTGATGAAGAAGAGACATGAAGAAGAGGGGACACATGTTGATGAAGAAGAGACATGAAGAAGAGGGGACACATGTTGATGAAGGAAGAGACCTGAAGAAGAGGGGACACATGTTGATGTAGAAGAGACCTGAAGAAGAGGGGACACATGTTGATGAAGAAGAGACATGAAGAAGAGGGGACACATGGTGATGAAGAAGAGACATGAAGAAGAGGGGACACATGGTGATGAAGAAGAGACATGAAGAAGAGGGGACACATGGTGATGAAGAAGAGACATGAAGAAGAGGGTACACATGTTGATGAAGAAGAGACATGAAGAAGAGGGTACACATGTTGATGAAGAAGAGACATGAAGAAGAGGGGACACATGTTGATGAAGAAGAGACATGAAGAAGAGGGGACACATGTTGATGAAGAAGAGACATGAAGAAGAGGGGACACATGTTGATGAAGAAGAGACATGAAGAAGAGGGGACACATGTTTGATGTAGAAGAGACATGAAGAAGAGGGGACACATGTTGATGTAGAAGAGACCGAAGAAGAGGGGAACATGTTTGATGAAGAAGAGACATGAAGAAGAGGGGACACATGGTGATGAAAGAAGAGACATGAAGAAGAGGGGACACATGGTGATGAAGAAAGAGACATGAAGAAGAGGGTACACATGTTGATGAAGAAGAGACATGAAGAGAGGGGACACATGGTGATGAAGAAGAGACATGAAGAAGAGGGGGGATAGAAGAGACATGAAGAAGACGGGGACACATGTTGATGAAGAAGAGGGGACACATGTTGATGTAGAAGAGACATGAAGAAGAGGGGACACATGTTGATTGTAGAAGAGACATTGAAGAAGAGGGGACACATGTTGATGAAGAAGAGGGGACACATGTTGATGTAGAAGAGACATGAAGAAGAGGGGACACATGTTGATGAAGAAGAGACATGAAGAAGAGGGGACACATGTTGATGTAGAAGAGACATGAAGAAGAGGGGACACATGTTGATGAAGAAGAGACATGAAGAAGAGGGGACACATGTTGATGTAGAAGAGACATGAGGAAGAGGGGACACATGTTGATGAAGAAGAGACATGAAGAAGAGTGGACACATGTTGATGAAGAAGAGACATGAAGAAGAGGGGACACATGTTGATGAAGAAGAGACATGAAGAAGAGGGGACACATGTTGATGAAGAAGAGACATGAAGAAGAGGGGACACATGTTGATGAAGAAGAGACATGAAGAAGAGGGGACACATGTTGATGAAGAAGAGACATGAAGAAGAGGGGACACATGTTGATGAAGAAGAGACATGAAGAAGAGGGGACACATGTTGATGAAGAAGAGACATGAGGAAGAGGGGACACATGTTGATGAAGAAGAGACATGAAGCTGTGTACCTGTAGAGGAAGTCAGCCAGCCCGTTGAGGCTGCACTGAGCCACTCTGGACCCCAGACTCCTGTTGATGGAGGCAGATCGCTCCAGGTCCACCTGCAGCCTCTGAGACACAAACACCACGTTCAGTCACAAAGACGTCCAGCAGCAGGTTACACAGTCCCCAGCTGGGAGGAACACCTTCATGCATCTAGAACCAGAACCCAGTCATCTCATACACAGGGTTCTGCCTCATGAGTACTTTCACTTTTAGTCCTTTAAAGTTATTTTAAAGCCAACACCTTTGGAGTTTAAGTTCAGTGAGAGTTTGAATGCAGGACTTTTATCTGTATAAATATTTGCGGTTATCAAGTCAAATCTAAGGGTTGTCCTATTTGCTGGAGCACTAAATAACTTTTCCATTGCGTTACAACCTGTGATGATAATTATGGTCCCAAGAGTCCAACCCTCTGACACATGGAGCTATTGCTAGTTAAAGACTTTTTATGTTGAACACATGAACATATCATTTGTGTTCAGGCTGTGAAGAGACAGCTTACAGAATAAAGAGAGTTCAGGAGCTTTGAAGGACCTCATCGCTGAGATTTATTGTCACTTTTTACCTCATTTAATGCAAACGTTATCAAACGTTATCAAACGTTATCAAACGTTATCAAACGTTATCAAATTCACACCTGAATCAAATGTTTGAAAACAGATTCAAGAGTTCATTTAAAAAAGCCATTTATTTAAATATAAAAACTGTCCCTTTGTTTCATGGTTCATGTGTGTGTGTGTGTGTGTGTGTGTGTGTGTGTGTGTGTGTGTGTGTGTGTGTGTGTGTGTGTGTGTGTGTGTGTGTGTGTGTGTGTGTGTGTGTGTGTGTGTGTGTGTGTGTGTGTGTGTGTGTGTTTTAACACTTGATTCCAAAAACGTTATTGGAACACCGACCGGAGCGCACACACACTGCAGTAACCATGGTGACACGTACCTGGATGACGGTCTTGGCGAGTGTGATCTGGAACTCCTCGATGTGCAGCGTCTCCATCCATCGTTTCTCCTCTTCGTCCAGAACCTGGTTCAGCTCCGTCGTCACTGTCGCCTGAACAGAGAGGTTTATACAGACATGTCTCTGAAGGGTCCTGCTCCAGACCCCAACCAGATCCTTGTAGCCCCCCCCCCCCTCTCTTCCAGCTGTTACTAAGGACATGTCTCTGAAGTGTCCTGCTCCAGACCCCAAACAGATCCTTGTAGCCCCCCCCCCCCCCCTCTCTTCCAGCTGTTACTAAGGACATGTCTCTGAAGTGTCCTGCTCCAAACCCCCAAACAGATCCTTGTAGCCCCCCCCCCCCTCTCTCCCAGCTGTTACTAAGGACATGTCTCTGAAGTGTCCTGCTCCAGACCCCAAACAGATCCTTGTAGCCCCCCCCCCCTCTCTTCCAGCTGTTACTAAGGACATGTCTCTGAAGTGTCCTGCTCCAGACCCCAAACAGATCCTTGTAGCCCCCCCCCCCCTCTCTTCCAGCTGTTACTAAGGACATGTCTCTGAAGTGTCCTGCTCCAAACCCCAAACAGATCCTTGTAGCCCCCCCCCCCTCTCTCTTCCAGCTGTTACTAAGGACATGTCTCTGAAGGGTCCTGCTCCAGACCCCAAACAGATCCTTGTAGCCCCCCCCCCCTCTCTCTTCCAGCTGTTACTAAGGACATGTCTCTGAAGTGTCCTGCTCCAGACCCCAAACAGACCCTTGTAGCCCCCCCCCCCTCTCTTCCAGCTGTTACTAAGGACATGTCTCTGAAGTGTCCTGCTCCAGACCCCAAACAGACCCTTGTAGCCCCCCCCCCCTCTCTTCCAGCTGTTACTAAGGACATGTCTCTGAAGTGTCCTGCTCCAAACCCCAAACAGATCCTTGTAGCCCCCCCCCCCTCTCTTCCAGCTGTTACTAAGGACATGTCTCTGAAGTGTCCTGCTCCAACCCCAAACAGATCCTTGTAGCCCCCCCCCCCCTCTCTTCCAGCTGTTACTAAGGACATGTCTCTGAAGTGTCCTGCTCCAGACCCCAAACAGATCCTTGTAGCCCCCCCCCCCTCTCTTCCAGCTGTTACTAAGGACATGTCTCTGAAGTGTCCTGCTCCAAACCCCAAACAGATCCTTGTAGCCCCCCCCCCCTCTCTTCCAGCTGTTACTAAGGACATGTCTCTGAAGGGTCCTGCTCCAAACCCCAAACAGATCCTTGTAGCCCCCCCCCCCCTCTCTTCCAGCTGTTACTAAGGACATGTCTCTGAAGGGTCCTGCTCCAGACCCCAAACAGATCCTTGTAGCCCCCCCCCCTCTCTCTTCCAGCTGTTACTAAGGACATGTCTCTGAAGGGTCCTGCTCCAGACCCCAAACAGATCCTTGTAGCCCCCCCCCCCCCTCTCTTCCAGCTGTTACTAAGGACATGTCTCTGAAGTGTCCTGCTCCAAACCCCAAACAGATCCTTGTAGCCCCCCCCCCCCTCTCTCCCAGCTGTTACTAAGGACATGTCTCTGAAGTGTCCTGCTCCAGACCCCAAACAGATCCTTGTAGCCCCCCCCCCCCTCTCTTCCAGCTGTTACTAAGGACATGTCTCTGAAGGGTCCTGCTCCAAACCCCAAACAGACCCTTGTAGCCCCCCCCCCCCCTCTCTCCCAGCTGTTACTAAAGAGCTGACTCTGGGTCAGTAGCTTCAGAGAGAGAGTAGATCTCATCAGGAGAACTCCGTGACTAAACTCCATATCCTGTTCCAAACCACATGAAGGATTCTCTCTGAAACAGCATGGAGCTCAAACTCTTTCTCTCTCTCAGGTTTACCACAAGGTGACTTCCTTTTGATTTCCTGCTTCTTCACACATACTCTCTCCAGTACAGGTTAGCTCTGAGTGTTAGCATGCTAATGTAAACACAGACCATATTACTTCCAGAACACGTCTCGTTGTTTCTGACAGCAACGTTTCTGATTGGCCCGTGGGTGTAAAGCCCGCCCACATTTAGTAATGTGGTCATACGCAGCAATCTGGATCAGCTTCCGTTGTTCCCCCGTTTTTTTTATGAGATCTTGTTTGGGGTACGGAGGGACAAAGAGAGAGGGTTTATTTTCCTGACACTTTGAGAGTCTCCTGACACAACCGGGGACCACCACCGGGGACCACACCGGGGACACACCGGGGAACACCGGGACACCCAAGGGACCACACCGGGGACACCACCGGGACACACGGGACCCACACCGGGGACACACCGGGGACACAACGGGGAAAACGGGGACACACCGGGCACATCCAAGGGACACACCGGGACACACCGGGACACACCGGGGACCACACCAGGGACACACCGGGGACCAACGGGGACACACAGGGGAACGGGGACACACCGAGGAACACACCGGGGACCACACCGGGGACACCACCTGGGACACACACCGGGGACACCCACCAGGGGACACCACCGGGGACACAACCCTTGGGGACACACCGGGGACACCACCGGGGACACACCAGGGGACACACCGGGGACACACCGGGGACACACCGGGGACACACCGGGGACACACCGGGGACACACCGGGGACACACCGGGACACACCGGGGACACACCGGGGACACACCGGGGACACACCGGGGACCACACCTGGGGACACACCGGGACACACGGGGGACACCGGGGACACACCGGGGACACACCGGGGACACCGGGACACACGGGGACACACCGGGGACACACCGGGGACACACCGGGGACACACCGGGGACACACCGGGGACACACCGGGAACACACAGGGGACACACCGGGGACACACAGGGGACACACCGGGGACACATAGTGATGTAGAAAAGACATGATAGGTGTAAGAAATAATCAATATATTGCGCCGGAACTTTAAGGGACATCATTTACTGCAGCAGTGTTGTCCCACGGACCGGATGTTGGCGACACCTCGAGTTCCGGTTTCTGATTATTATTGTTTTTAGCCTCACAGTAGCATGTAGCTAATAGTGACGCGTGGAGTTACACACTAAACACACCGTCTCCAACTCTCACTCATCGACGCTGCCTTACAACTATTAATATGTGTTTATGACCAACAGACATTAGAAGAATTGTATAATAAATATGATAAGAGATGAGTTATGGCTACGTCATCAGAGGACTACAGAAGAAGACCCGCCCCCGTCGACGCCAGCCAATGGAAGGAGACTAAATAGGAGTGGGAACATATAAAACACGATGTTTGATAGAGAAACGGTCTCTTTTTATTCATGCAACTGCAGACAGCTAACCGCTCATGTGGACTGTGGACCAGTGAACCTACAATACCATTGCATTAATAAATACTGTTCAACTTTACGAGAAGCGTCCTGGTCTTCTTTAGACTAACTCTTGGTCTTCAAACAAAAGAACACAACATAGGAGACCTTTAACAACGTCATCACAACAAGGACATTGTTTGTGTGTCTCACCCTGACAGAGTTGAGGCAGTCGAGCTCCAGCCGGTCCACGGTCTCTGTCGGCAGCAGAGGGCTGAGCTGGGACCGACTGAAGGGACTCGTAATGCACACGGTCCCCAGAACATCCCTGAAACAAACATACACACACACACACACAACATTCACAATCAAAATCAGAATCAGAATCAGGTAGGTTGACTGACACGTATGAGGAATTTGATTTGGTGTCGTGGTGCATACAAAAAAGTAAAACTAAAATTCAAAACAGTGATAGAAAACTATTTTAAGAAAACTATAATAACATTAAAAAATATTTAAAAATATTAAAGAATATAATTTTTTTTATTAAAACATATTACAAAATATTAAGAAATATTAAAAGAATATTAAGAAATATAGCATAATTTAAATTGAAATAAAATGGAATAGCATATGTAAGAAAACTATAATAACATAAAAAAGTATAAAGAAATATAGTAAAATATAGCAATATTTACATTGAAATGGAATTGGAATAAAATATGTGCAGTAAGAAGAACTTGTGATAATGATTCTGTGTTGTTGTGTAGACTAAAATCTGTCATCAATCTAATAGTGTAATCTATACCAGTGGTTCTCAAATTGGGGTACGTAGACCCCTAGGGGTACATTGGAGTACTGCAGGGGGTACGTGAGATTTTTTTAATGTTAATTAAAAAAAACATCAGTCGTGCATAATTCCTAAATTAATGATACTATAATAAATTAAATAAAAAATGTAAATTTAAGTTCGGTAAAAATCATTTAATATTCAATATTTCTGTTTTTAACACTAGAACCGCCACCATTACCCCTAGAACCGCCGAGGGGGGTCATATTTTATTTTCTCTTCATTCCCCACGCCCCAAAAATGTACTCGGTGATAAATATACCCATTTTAGGAAAAGTCACTGAGAACCACTGCTCTATACCACCTAACACAAACAGGAAGTGCCTACAGGGAGTGAGTGATCTGATGGTATACCTGTTGTACATGTTGTGCAGCCAGTCCAGCAGAGAGTAGACGTCGCTGATCTCCAGCTGGTTGTCGGTGATGGACTCCAGTCGCCTAGCAACCGCCTGGTGGTAACTCTGCACGTACACCTGAGGTCAAAGGTCAAAGGTGAACACCAAGAAATACATTGTTCCCTTAAAGGTGGGGTAGGTAAGTTTGAGAAACCGGCTCGAGATACACTTGTTGTTATATTCCATGGAATGCTCTTAACATCCCGATAGCAATGAATATCTGAAGTGCTTTGACAAGAAATCCATAAAAAATGTCATCTGTGGAAGCTGTAGTACTGTAAAAAGCACGACCAATCATCTGAGCCGGCCCGGCTAAAATAACTGGATGGCCTACCTGCCTGTCAGCCTTCCATCTGTGCACAAACTTATCTCGTGCCCTCATTGGTCATGTGCGCGTTCGTGTGTGTTGGAGGCGGGGCTCTGTGAGGAAGTGGCAGATTTTCTCCGGCTGTGTATTTTCAAATTCTAGCGATCTCGAGCTGGTTTCTCAAACTTACCTACCCCAGCTTTAAATGAAAACACCTATTTACAGAGATACAAATGTACTTTAGTTTGATTCTGGTGAATAATTTATGATTATTTATGACAGAATTACAATTAAAATCATAATCTCACAATGTTAAGCAATAGGATGTTTATTTGACTGGATTTTTCTACACAAGGCACTAAACCTTTTTGTATTATTATTATATGATATAATATAATCACTACAGCTCTTATTTGGCCTTATTGTTTGTTATATCCATCACATTCAAATCTTGAATAAAAAGCTCTGTGAATAAATCCATTGCTACGCTAGCTAGTCACAAAGGAGGGATTTGTAAAGCAATCTAAATGTAAGATAATGTCAAATGTTTACTGTTAGATACAAATCAGATTTCAAGACTTTAGACCAATCAGAACACATGTTGTGGCATTTTTCCTAATCATATGAAGTAATGTATGTTTTCACTAATAGGTTCAGCTGATTATTAGTTCCACCTGTGATTGATAAGAGAAAATGTTTCACACCAACTTTCACAAAAAAAAGGCCAAATAACATTTAGATTCTCCTGATTTTGGTTATTGAGATATTGTTGTCATGATTAATAAAGATCGTACCGGCTTGAGTTATGACAAGATTTGGGTTCAACCTGTGTTTGACAAGCCACTTTTTTTCCCGTTTAAAAGCTTGGTTTTGTCAAAGGTCAAAAGTGAACACCAATAAATCCATTATTACGCTAGCTAGTCGCAAAGAACGTTTAAAGGTCTCCTATTATACTATTTTTAGGTATATATTATAGGTCTCAGATATATAAAACATTTTGAGCACCAGCCCTTCATGCTCAAAATGAAGGGCTGGTAGTCCTCGGGGTAGATGGACACCACGTTCCTCTTGGCAGCCCCAGTTACTAAAGATGTAACTAAGTAACTAACTAACTAACTATCTAAGTTACAAAATATCTAAAAAAGTAGCCTGCTAAAGATGTAACTAAGTAAATAACTAAGTAGCTAAGTTGCAAAGTAACCTACTAACTAAGTAACTAACTAAGTAACTAAGTTGCAAAGTAACCTACGAACTAAGTAACTAACTAAGTAACTAAGTTGCAAAGTAACCTACTAACTAAGTAACTAACTAAGTAACTAACTAAGTAGCTAAGTTGCAAAGTAACCTACTAACTAAGTAACTAACTAAGTAACTAAGTTGCAAAGTAACCTACTAACTAAGTAACTAACTAAGTAACTAACGAAGTAACTAACTAAGTAGCTAAGTTGCAAAGTAACCTACTAACTAAGTAACTAACTAAGTAACTAACTAAGTAGCTAAGTTGCAAAGTAACCTACTAACTAAGTAACTAACGAAGTAACTAACTAAGTAACTAACGAAGTAACTAACGAAGTAACTAACTAAGTAACTAACGAAGTAACTAACGAAGTAACTAACGAAGTAACTAACTACTGTAAGTAGCTAAGTTGCAAAGTAACCTACTAACTAAGTAACTAACGAAGTAACTAACTAAGTAGCTAAGTTGCAAAGTAACCTACTAACTAAGTAACTAACTAAGTAACTAACTAAGTAGCTAAGTTGCAAAGTAACCTACTAACTAAGTAACTAACGAAGTAACTAACTAAGTAACTAACGAAGTAACTAACGAAGTAACTAACTAAGTAACTAACGAAGTAACTAACGAAGTAACTAACGAAGTAACTAACTACTGTAAGTAGCTAAGTTGCAAAGTAACCTACTAACTAAGTAACTAACGAAGTAACTAACTAAGTAGCTAAGTTGCAAAGTAACCTACTAACTAAGTAACTAACTAAGTAACTAAGTTGCAAAGTAACCTACTAACTAAGTAACTAACTAAGTAACTAAGTTGCAAAGTAACCTACTAACTAAGTAACTAACTAAGTAACTAACGAAGTAACTAACTAAGTAGCTAAGTTGCAAAGTAACCTACTAACTAAGTAACTAACTAAGTAACTAACTAAGTAGCTAAGTTGCAAAGTAACCTACTAACTAAGTAACTAACGAAGTAACTAACTAAGTAACTAACGAAGTAACTAACGAAGTAACTAACGAAGTAACTAACTAAGTAACTAACGAAGTAACTAACGAAGTAACTAACGAAGTAACTAACTAAGTAACTAACGAAGTAACTAACTAAGTAACTAACTAAGTAACTAACGAAGTAACTAACGAAGTAACTAACGAAGTAAATAACTAAGTAATTAACTAAGTAACTAACGAAGTAACTAACGAAGTAACTAACTAAGTAACTAACTAAGTAACTAACTAAGTAACGTCTCCTCACCATGAAGGGCTGGTAGTCCTCGGGGTAGATGGACACCACGTTCCTCTTGGCGGCCCCCAGGTCCTCCACCACCCGGGCTCTGATCCGGTCCAGGAACGCCCCCAGCTCCCCGGCTGTGAACTCTTGTTTCTGGGGCAGCGAGGCGTCGGCCGCCTGGTTCACGGCCTCCTCCCAACGCTGCTTCAGACCCCGAGGCCTCGGACCCCCGGGGAGCGAGTCCTGGTCCACCTGCTCCTCCTGCTGCAGCACCTGAACACAACACAACAGATGTAGTGACTTTTAAACCTAATCTATACTTAAGCCACTGAGGGATTCAAAGATTCAAGATTCATAGGTTTTATTGCACAAAGCTGTAGAAATGGCAGTTCAGTGATCGACCTACTATTACATGTACAGCACTTTGGCTCGACCAAAAATCGCTTTTAAATGTGCTTTATAAATAAAACTTGATTTGATTTGATTTGATTTGATTCTCTGTAAAGCACTTTGGGCTGCGTCAAGCATTAAAAGGTGCTATAGCAATACGGTTTATTGTTGAAGCATGGATGTTTAATAAGAACTGGATACAGCGTCGGAGGCGGGGCTTCGTTCACTCCTATGAGAGCTGTTCATTGGCTCATGAAGACAAAATGGCCTGAGATTTTCGAGAGCATGAAAGGTGCTATATAAATAAAGTTTATTATTTAAATATCCGCCAATAGGGAGCAAATAGAGGGGAAATAGCAGGGGGCCTAAGACTGAGCCCTGTGGGACCCCACCTGATATCTACACGTTAAATATACGCCCTTTTCGAATCATTAAATAATGGTGGGCGTCTCTCCTCAGTGCTTTCTGACCTAATAACTAAATAGTTGTGGCATATTTGTAAAATGTTCCGTCTTTTCTAACACTTTCTTGGGACTTTTTAAAATACTTTTAGTACAGATGTCACATATTTTTGGACTTTTTCCCATTGTTTACCACATATTCTTTACATTTTCAGACTTTTTGTTTTTCAAACCACTGGAGGGTCCCTCACCTGCACCACGAGCCCCAGGTTGGGCCCCGCGGTGGGGCAGCGCAGCGACTCCCTCACCACGGCCCACAGCTCTTTCTGCAGCTCTTCATAAAGAAGCTCCACGTCTTTGGCCTTCCTCCGCCCGCCGTCCTCTGCCTCCGCCCCCCCGCTGACCTCCAGCTCCAGCTCCAGGATGTGGCTGTCGGCCAATAGGAGGTCGCGCCGCTTCACCAGCTGCAGGATCTCCAGCACTGAGGAGAGACACACACGCATATTTAATCAATTGTGTAATTTTTATTATTTTTTTATCTTCAATATTCTTTTTTTAATGCATGCTTCTTAGTTAACATTGAGCTGTCTTTGGCTCTTTCTGCTGTAACAAATATAAAGAGACACACACGAATATTTAGTTTCTGGGTCAGAAACAAGTCAAAACAAGTTTTAAAATGTCCCAAAAAAAGGGTGAGAAAAGTCTGAAAATTTAAAGAATATGTGGTAAATAAAGTTTCTTTTTTAACAATGGGAAAAAGTTCAAAAATATGTGTGACATCAGTACAAAAAGTATGTTAAAAATATCGGCTAATAGGAGGTTGCGCCGCTTCACCAGCTGCAGGATCTCCACTGAGGAGAGACAGCCAACTTTATTTAGTATTTGGGTCAGAAAGAAGTCAAAGAAAGTGTTTAAAAAGTCGGAAATTTAAAAAATATGTGCTAAATAAAGTATTTTTTCTAAACAATGGGAAAAAGTCAAAGAAATATGTGACATCTGTACTAAAAGTATTTAAAAAAGTCCTGAAAAAGTGTTAGAAAAGTCTGAATTTTTTTAAAGTATGTGGTAAATATATGTGACAACTATTCAATAAGTATTTAAAAAAGTCCCAAGAAAGAGTTAGAAAAGATGGAACATTTTACAAATATGCCACAACTATTTAGTTATTAGGTCAGAAACAAGTCAAAACTAGTTTTAAAAAGTCCCAAAAAAAGAGTAAGAAAAGTCTGAAAAAAACAAATATTGGTAAATAACGCCAGAAAGCCACAATTATTACATTTGTGGATCAGAAACAAGTCAAAAAAATGTAAGAATTAAAATAATTGAAAATTATTAAATATGTATAAATAGTGTAAAATAATTTTAAAAATCTAATAAAAAACATTCAAAATATAAATACATATTTTAATTTTTTATTTAAATATTTTTATTTTAACAGAAAATAAATAATAAAAAGTATAACAATAATACAATTTAATAACTGTACAAAAAGTATTTAAAAAAAGTCCCAAAACAGTGGTAAATAAAAAGTATTTTTTAAATGTCCCAAAAAAGGTTTCAAAATGTCTAAATAGTTGTGGCATATTTGTAAAATGTTCCGTCTTTTCTAACACTTTCTTGGGACTTTTTAAAGTAATCTTTATGGAGCTCAGCGCAAGTTCAACCAGGAAGACCGTCTTTTCTCATTAATTTACTATTTCCATGATACTACTCTCTCTCCTTTCAATCATTGATCGGGGGCGTCACTCCCCAGCTTAACCAATCACTTCGCTCTATTCTCTCAAGCCTATCATAGCGCTCCGCTAACCCTTTTAAATCTGCTCTCCCCTCTGACAGCTGTCATTTCAGGTGACTCGACGCAACCCTCCTCCACCCCTTTTCACCTCCTGTCCCTCTGAATCCAGGGTCAAGCTAAGCCCCTCCCCTTCAGATCGACCCCAACTATCCATTCACCACCACCAGGGTCAAGCTAAGCCCCTCCCCTTCAGACCGAACCCAACTATCCATTCACCACCACCAGGGTCAAGCTAAGCCACTCCCCTTCAGACCGACCCCAACTATCCATTCACCACCACCAGGGTCAAGCTAAGCCACTCCCCTTCAGACCGACCCCAACTATCCATTCACCACCACCAGGGTCAAGCTAAGCCACTCCCCTTCAGACCGAACCCAACTATCCATTCACCACCACCATGGTCAAGCTAAGCCACTCCCCTTCAGACCGACCCCAACTATCCATTCACCACCACCAGGGTCCAGCTAAGCCACTCCCCTTCAGACCGACCCCAACTATCCATTCACCACCACCAGGGTCAAGCTAAGCCACTCCCCTTCAGACCGACCCCAACTATCCATTCACCACCACCAGGGTCAAGCTAAGCCACTCCCCTTCAGACCGACCCCAACTATCCATTCACCACCACCAGGGTCAAGCTAAGCCACTCCCCTTCAGACCGCACCATCCATTCACCACCACCAGGGTCAAGCTAAGCCACTCCCCTTCAGACCGAACCCAACCATCCATTCACCACCACCAGGGTCAAGCTAAGCCCCTCCCCTTCAGACCGAACCCAACCATCCATTCACCACCACCAGGGTCAAGCTAAGCCACTCCCCTTCAGACCGCACCATCCATTCACCACCACCAGGGTCAAGCTAAGCCACTCCCCTTCAGACCGAACCCAACCATCCATTCACCACCACCAGGGTCAAGCTAAGCCACTCCCCTTCAGACCGCACCATCCATTCACCACCACCAGGGTCAAGCTAAGCCACTCCCCTTCAGACCGAACCCAACCATCCATTCACCACCACCAGTGTCAAGCTAAGCCCCTCCCCTTCAGACCGCACCATCCATTCACCACCACCAGGGTCAAGCTAAGCCACTCCCCTTCAGACCGCACCATCCATTCACCACCACCAGTGTCAAGCTAAGCCACTCCCCTTCAGACCGCACCATCCATTCACCACCACCAGGGTCAAGCTAAGCCACTCCCCTTCAGACCGCACCATCCATTCACCACCACCAGTGTCAAGCTAAGCCACTCCCCTTCAGACCGCACCATCCATTCACCACCACCAGGGTCAAGCTAAGCCACTCCCCTTCAGACCGAACCCAACCATCCATTCACCACCACCAGTGTCAAGCTAAGCCCCTCCCCTTCAGACCGCACCATCCATTCACCACCACCAGGGTCAAGCTAAGCCACTCCCCTTCAGACCGCACCATCCATTCACCACCACCAGTGTCAAGCTAAGCCACTCCCCTTCAGACCGCACCATCCATTCACCACCACCAGTGTCAAGCTAAGCCCCTCCCCTTCAGACCGCACCATCCATTCACCACCACCAGGGTCAAGCTAAGCCCCTCCCCTTCAGACCGCACCATCCATTCACCACCACCAGGGTCAAGCTAAGCCACTCCCCTTCAGACTGAACCCAACCATCCATTCACCACCACCAGTGTCTAGACCCCGGGGGGGGGGTTTCATCGGATCGGTTCTCCCCTCCCTCTGAATCCAGGGTCAAGCTAAGCCCCTCCCTTTCAGACTGACCCCAACCATCCATTCACCACCACCAGGGTCAAGACCCCGGGGGGTTTCATCGGATCGGTTCTCCCCTCCCGAATGATACTCCTGCACAACGGGGCCTAATCGCCAAAACTCCATTACATTCATTTAATCCTGGCAATAAATATGTATTCTTCAAAACCCTCTCTCCTGATTGAAGTGCAGTTGTACACATTTTTACAGATATTTGTCAGAATCAGAAAACTTTTATTCGAGGGGACTTTACAGTTGTTTTAAGTGTACAAAAAATACACATCCAGTCCCAGTTACAGTTTAGCAGCCAGGTGAAAGTATGAAAGGTGTTAGGGTACATTGCACAGATATATTTAGGGACTGAAAGCTGTGTTTTGTTTCCTCGTTGTCATTGTTACGTGCCGTGGTGTGTGTGTGTGTGTGTGTGTGTGTGTGTGTGTGTGTGTGTGTGTGTGTGTGTGTGTGTGTGTGTGTGTGTGTGTGTGTGTGTGTTTGTGTGTGTGTCTCCCCCTGATTGTCTCCCTCCAGGTGCAGCCTCTCCCTCAGGTGCTCCCAATCCCCAATCACACCATGAAGGACCTGAGGAAGGCTGCACCCTCTCTCTCCTTCTCCTCTGGCTGCATGTGTGGTGTCTCTGTGTGAGGCCTTAGAGTTGAACCTGTGTTTTGTTAATGGTTAGGAGATGTGCTCCAGTGTATCTTTGTGTATTGTTTACTTTAGTCACTTTCTTTTAGAAGAAAGTTGTTCTCAGTTGACCTTAAGTTTACTTTGCAAACTGGCTGGTGGTGAGTCCTCTTTACTGTTTGCTTATTACACATCACCTTGTGGCTTCACTCCGTTTCCTCTTTTCTTTCTCTCTCCCGGTTACTGGATCTTTTGTTACTTCCCTTTGTACCCCTAGTCCAGGAGGGAACGTAACACTTGAATGCATGTCTGCTGTCACACCGTGTCGACAGGGTGAACAGGTGTCACGCCGTGTCTACGGGGTGAACAGGTGTCACAGCGTGTCTACGGGGTGAACAGCTGTCACGCCGTGTCTACGGGGTGAACAGGTGGCACAGCGTGTCTACGGGGTGAACAGGTGGCACAGCGTGTCTACGGGGTGAACAGGTGGCACAGCGTGTCTACGGGGTGAACAGCTGTCACGCCGTGTCTACGGGGTGAACAGGTGTCACGCCGTGTCTACGGGGTGAACAGCTGTCACGCCGTGTCTACGGGGTGAACAGGTGTCACGCCGTGTCTACGGGGTGAACAGCTGTCACGCCGTGTCTACGGGGTGAACAGGTGTCACGCCGTGTCTACGGGGTGAACAGGTGTCACGCCGTGTCTACGGGGTGAACAGCTGTCACACAGTGTCTACGGGGTGAACAGGTGTCACGCCGTGTCTACGGGGTGAACAGGTGTCACGCCGTGTCTACGGGGTGAACAGGTGTCACGCCGTGTCTACGGGGTGAAGAGGTGTCACGCCGTGTCTACGAGGTGAACAACTGTCACGCCGTGTCTACGGGGTGAACAGGTGTCACGCCGTGTCTACGGGGTGAACAGGTGTCACGCCGTGTCTACGGGGTGAACAGGTGTCACGCCGTGTCTACGGGGTGAACAGCTGTCACAGCGTGTCTACGGGGTGAACAGCTGTCACGCCGTGTCTACGGGGTGAACAGCTGTCACGCCGTGTCTACGGGGTGAACAGCTGTCACGCCGTGTCTACGGGGTGAACAGGTGTCACGCCGTGTCTACGGGGTGAACAGCTGTCACGCCGTGTCTACGGGTGAACAGCTGTCACGCCGTGTCTACGGGGTGAACAGGTGTCACGCCGTGTCTACGGGGTGAACAGCTGTCACAGCGTGTCTACGGGGTGAACAGGTGTCACGCCGTGTCTACGGGGTGAACAGCTGTCACGCCGTGTCTACGGGGTGAACAGGTGTCACGCCGTGTCTAC